TTTTTGACGCGCTGAAATTTGCGATCGAGTGATGTCTGGTGACTTAAAAGTGAGGTGAACAAAAAGCATGAGCAGAAAGAAATCATGCGATGTTATGCGCCATGCAAAAAACGCGTATGCGGCACGCAAAACTAATCTAAAACAACAACGCAAATTGCGAGCTTTGTCCCCATTATGAAAACTTACGTACGCCACTACGGACGAGACAAAGGTGAATGAAGGTGCGTCATAGCAATAGATGTGCGTCGTTAAAGCGTCGTGCCATTCGATACAGTGGGGCTTGATCGCTCGCCACGTGGTAATACGTCAGGTTCAGTGCGAGGCTTTGGGCTGCTGTTCGTTACGTTTATGTCGTGACAAGCTGACTTGCTAGAAGAACGTAGCTAATCGTCAGCTTTTTAATGAAATAGCGTTGAGAAGCCCTGCCGACCTAGGAGGATTGTTTGTGGATGCCTGAGCTCTAGCTCCAGGGGTAAGCGGAGGACCTTGGAGCGACACATGCGAAAAATTTATCCGGAGCAGTCTGCTGCTGAGAGTAACAACGGCTTTGAGGTAAGAGACAGAGTATCACTGCTGTATGCCTCTCACATTGCCCGTTCCACCTCTGGCTCTGCGATCGGTGGACAGGCGTGAGATAAAACGCTTTATTTTTATCATATTACGCACCAAGCTGAATGAAGATGGAGGTGTTCAAAAATGTCGTATACATCCGTTAATACCAATATTGCATGAGTTTTGCTCTAAGTGATTGGGATCATGTTAGGAAGTGTAGGCATCGATAACGATTTTGCATCGGTAACGATTATGCGAAGATAGTGAAAGTCGCCTGCGCGCTCAGCTGATTGCACAATGACGGCACAAAACCAAAGGTGATATTGTAAGGTGCTTGCAGTACCATGTTGTCGCTAAATATAGGGTTACAGGGATGCAGTTTTGCAAAATGCGTAAGATTGAGGGATCGAAGGTGGGGGCGAGAAAGAATGACAACGTCTGTCTCCGAAATGCACTCAAAACAGGTTTCGCCACAGATTTGGCGCACTTTATTTTCACAGTTGGGAGCAGATGTGTAATTTCTTGAAGTTAGTTTGGCGGGCTAAGCCCTGAAAATTGTGATAAATGAAGAATAGTGCTTAAAATTGATAAATGAAAATGGGAAAGTACATCCATGGTTCGGAGGCACAGCCCCCTAACCCTGTCTGAGCAGGGAACTACACGCCTCCAAGCTGGTTATGTTAAGTTGTCTTTATCTAATAATTTTATTAGTTAAGTCTCAATCATCATTCAGTGGTTGATGGCCAACAAATTATACCTGAGTGCCAATGAGCTCCCGAAACAAAAACGTTTGATGGTTATACCACATTGCATAACCACTGGATTAAACATTCCATTGAACATTGCATTAAACATTGCATTAAACATTGCATTAAATTGGTCTTTGTCATTTGGTTTATTGTATTTAGAGTTATGCTGCAACAGTTTCTGAAAGATTCTGTTGCAGGTGACAATTTAGACGGTTCGAAATTTCGTCAGTGACAGAAAACGCACTCTTCTCACCCCTGTATAAGACTGGTAGTTTTCACTGTCCACAAACAGGCAAAATTAGATGAATTTCCCCTACAAGTGGCCAGATATGCCAGTGCATAATAGTAGGACGCATCAGTAAGACAACCCATTGCTCGACACAGATTCTGTGTGACAACCCGATGAACTAATCAACAGAACTTTATCAAACAACGAACCGGTTCCCTATTTTCTGTGAAAATGGACACCCAGAACACCGAGGGACGTCTGCCGCCTATGGCATACGCTTTCAATTGTTGGCGTAGAAATTGTAAAAAGGCGAAGAAATTAACACGCCATGTCTGTGTGAAACTCCCTTTTATAGACGAAGAGGTGTGTTCACAAATAAATGCCGCCTTGCGATCGAGTGATATGCACGGCGCTAGTGTAGCGCGGGCTAGTGGTCCTAGAAGTCCATGCTATACGATAACCGCTAGACACCAATGTGCCGAGCTCGGGTAAACTTGTCATATATGGGTGAATGACCTGAAAGGTAAATGCGCGCGGCATAACGTAACATACGAGGTGTCCTGTAACCTGCGCTCGGGGCTATTTAATGTAGGAAAAACCAAGTGTAGCATTCGTGACCGATGTAATGAACACCTTGGAGACGCGTGGTTACCGAGAGTGTACATAACTCTACAAGAATGCATAGTAGATCGACGTGCAACAATGAGGCATAGCGCAACAAGTACTAGGTTTAGAATAACAACTTCAACATCAGCTTAAGACAATGAATGTAGACCCCAAAATATAAGGGTCGATGCAAACTAGGAATCTTCGCCCCACGCTGAACGCGCAGAGTTCGTCATAGCATCTGGTATTATATCAATTTTAGGTTATGCACGTTCTTGAGGTCCAGACAATGCTCGTGATGGCTAATAATTGTGGCAAATAATGTGCTTATCTAGTGTTCTGTGAGACTTTATAAAGTTCCGACAAAGCCACCTTTTTCGGTAGCCGCTGACGTGTACTTATATACGAAGTGTTAAGAGCTTGGATGATTAATCTTTTTTAACTTTTTTTAGCAGCAGTGGCTGGACAAAACGGAAAATTTTGTGCATTCCCGGGTCTTCTTGTTAAGTGTGGTATTTTACCAAGGCATTCTGAGCCATTTTCATTTTTGGGAATGAGCACAGCTCGAAGTATTGAGCACCTTTCAAATATTTGTTATTTAGCATTACGATGTCCTTTAACCAGCGCCTTCTGACCTACTGAAGGTCGCTGCCTCAACTGAGCATAAGAACTTTGAACTCATCAGGTCTGTGATTTGCATTGGGAGGCCCGCAATACGAGCTGAATTCGGCCACCCATGGTTAACCCCGTCTCTGCCTCCCACAACCGAAAATACGCGCCCCCGCCCACGCAAATACACCACTAAAGGACGACGAAAAATGAGCCCATCGGCGAGCCAAACGTGGTTCGGATGACGGAGCAATCGAGACAAATCAAAATTTGGCGAAAAAACTTGGATTCATTACGTATCGTTGCAGGTCATAAGCGGGACAGGACCTGCTTCACGACAAAAACTGATAGTCGTTTTAAAACGCCAACAAAAGTAGACAGCCCGTATCACAGTAGAAATAACTGTCATTTCTCTAGCAACCAGTGTCACGATTTTCTTGAAAACAGTGCTTTATTATCACTACGGTTTCACGTGAAGATCGGAGATGAAATATCATTTTTAACAAACCCATGCAACAATGAATTTGTTGCATGGTTATGTTTTTACCTGGCAAACAATTGAAGAATGCATGCCTCTGGCAAAAGTGTGGGTAACTATCCAAAATTCAGACCGGCTCAGACGAAGCCCGATCACATCGAGGAGGAATTCGGGTCAAAGCTAGTACATGGCTGAAAACCGAACGCCACGCAACCCTTAGAACTCAAAAACACCTGGCGATGGCCGGAAAAATGGTAACTGGCCGGAACGCTGTGCAACTATGGGCGAGGGCGATTATCCGAGCGACAGGTCCATTCACAAATGCACGGCGTAAGCGGATGTAATGTCTACCAATTACTGAGCGGTCTCAGCACTGTGCGACCTAGACGTAATAGACTAAGGCGTCATAGTTTCCGAGACCGACCCGCAATGTCAAACACTGCGGCCTGAACAAAAAGGGGGATTGGGTCAGGCAAGGATTATTGGCATCCAGTCCAGCTAAGTTATGACGGATATGTTGCAGAAATGTATGCAATTTCTCAACATCCTTGTTACAGTCACCAAAAAAATTTAGCTCGCTTTGAATGATCCGATTTAGAGGATCTAAACCGTCTGGAAGTATCGAGCTCAACGGCATCCAACCTTCAACCAACGCCGTATGCATGTATGTATCTGTGCGTGGTGTGCATGGACTGCACCTCACTGCTCTGCTTGGTAGACACATAACCGAGGGATACTCTAATGCATTGATAACATTTGTTGCGCGGGTCGTAAAGGCGGCGGGCACCATTTGCTCAGCTTTCGGTGGTAAACGACATGGTGGTGTCAACTACAGGTTATTATCACTCCCTCATTCCTTGTCACAAAATGACATCAGGGGTGTTGAAGTGTTTTCTGTGAGCGCCTCGTCCCCGATGGTGGTTCCCCCCAAATTATGCTCGAATATTACGCAACATAAGAAAAGCCGAAAATTGAATTAAAAAGTCACAACGCGCATATTTGATCATCATGAGTCATCAAAAGCATGCACTATTTGATCGTCGTGACTGTTGTGCTGCTGAAACAAAAAACTTGTAAGGATGGCCAAAAATTGAAAACAAATTATCGTTCACTCGCTCGTGAAACATATAGTGGACCGAATTTGACCAAATAACACATCTTCGGGGGGGGGGGGGGGGAGGCTGCCGGGCCATTGGCTCGGTCTCCAGCTATTTACACACATTGAAGACCTTGCACGCCGTCCTACTGGTTACCACGCAATGAAAAGCTTCTGGTGAAAAGAAAGATGCGAAGTAAACCGGAAGAGCATACTTTTCCGGTGCGTTTATCCAAAACTTTCTGAGCATTGAATTAAAGACAATCTTGGTGTAGGCCTGATCCTTCATGAATTTTCTATTATGTCCATGCCTCATTTAGGTAGTCATCAATCAGGTGCTGAAACGCATTCCAAGTCAGTCTCGTCTGGCAACGTTGGCGATTTGGTGAATCACTGTACTAATATTGGAATGTGCCCGGGTATTTGGCTTTAGCGTCTAGTGCTTGCCGTAAAATTCAGGATTCCAATCAACTGTGATACTTACGTGAGCTGTGAATATTTCAGCCAATACTCAAGTACTAAAGTCACTAAAGCAGCGCGAAATCAAGCACCAGGATATCAGGCGTTTGACGAAGCTGGCGTCTAAACCCACCAGGCGTCCTGACCAGGCAGACATAAGATCTGATTCGTGACATCATCGAACGAACTCTTCACAGCTCCGCGATCCGCGCCTCGTCTCACCTCAAATGACGTGACGAACCGTTGTAGACCCTGTCACATTCGCGAGCCGCGCCGCAAGCCTCGCCGGCCGGTCATGCCCCAACCTCCGACGCCCGACTATACGGGCGCTCCTGCCGAGCCGAGCGCTACGCGGCCAGCCGACGGAGGGGGGGGGGGGGGGGAGGACACTCCCACACCTGGCGCCCGGGCCGCGCCGCACCCGCCGGGCGCCGCGCGCACTTGTGCTGCACTACCGCGCTGCCCGATCTCAGACTTATTTTTGTCGGCCCGTTGCACGCGCCCGTATATCTTCTACCGAGGGGCACGTAGCGGCGCCATCTTGCTGCAGCCCGGCGGACGCACTGGAAGAGGTCGCCGCATCAAACGAACGGCCTGGTCGGAGGCTCCCGGCCGGGGTCAGGCGGGGGGCGATCAGCTACGTCGGTGGCGGCAGTGGGGGGGGGGGGGGGGGGCTGTCGACGCTACGTCGCAGTGAATATAAGCGCACCTGTCGGAGCCACGTGTGGCTGTCGAAGTCAGACTAAAACCAGGCCAAAATGCGCTGCAGGTGTTTTGACAACTTCGGTCGGGATTGGGCTAGAGGATCCACGCAGGCGACAGACAGTTTTACGTAAATTCTCTTTGTTACCAATTGTAAAATTATACTTGTACTTATGATTCCAAGTGCCGTTCGGATAAGCTTTCGCCTGTAAATATCTTGCCGGTTTTTAAAGGGAGTTTGTAACGACAGAGACCGATAATGCCGTGATGCATCCAGACTTGAGTCACGTGGGAATGACAATAATAAGCGCAGTGCAAGCAGTTAATTCAAATGAACTTGATTATAGACACTTGACATTGGGCTTGTTTGGTTATGCTGCCTCAGTCCGGAGGACAGGGGCACGAAGTAGCATACCTAAGCGTTTCCCAAACCTTTGGCAGCGTGGATTTCTGTACTCTAACCTAACGTGCCAGACTCGGGTAGTGTCAGAGCTCCAGAACCCATCGGTAGGGGGCGCCACGAACGGTACGTGGAACGCTCCCGTCTTGTTTCTGATGGCACACGGTATCTGCTATCAATTATGAATTGCTGGGTCCTGAATCATCCACTGTGCAACAATGATGGCCGATCTCTTGCCAAGAACAGCTGCGCCGCAGGCGGTGATGTGGCGTTGGGCGTACTGCCTGCGGCATCAAACCGGCCACCGTGCATCGACATCCGACAGAGCCCTCAGGCCCACATATCCGGCCGTAGCCCACGGATTCAGGCATCCGGCCATGACTCACGGACTCAGACATCCGGCGGTGACTCACGGGTTCAGACATCCGGCTGTGGCTCCCGGATTCAGATGTCCGCCGTGGCTTGCGGATTCAGACATCCGGCGGGGGCTCACGGGCTCGGACATCCGGCCGTGGCTCTCGGACTCAGACATTCAGGGGGACTCACGGACCCAGACATCCGGCGGAGACTCGCGGACTCAGACATTCAGGGGGACTCACGGACTCGGACATCCGGCCGTGGCTCACGGACTCAGACATTCAGGGGAACTCACGGACCCAGACATCCGGCGGAGACTCGCGGACTGAGGCACAGGTGCGCAGCCAGAGCCTTGTAACAAGTGGGCATAGGGTTAACAAAGAACCTGCTGATAGTTAGCCCTCCCCCCTTAAAGATAAATGGTATGGCCATATATATATATATATATATATATATATATATATAAAGCGTAGTTTTTGAACATAATCTTTTGTTAATGAGGGCATGTTTTTCTTTTATGTATTTAATTTCTACCTTCTATAACTGGAATACGAGCTATGGCGAGATCAATTCTGCCTGAACTCCATAGTCGATAAGCTAAAGAAATCATGCGTTGAACGACTCCAGAAAAAGTCTTTGCAGCTCTTCAGGTTAAAATAGTCCAAGGGACTCTCTCTCTCTCTCTCCCTCTCTCTCTCTCCCTCTCTCTCTCTCTCTCTCTCTCTCTCTCTCTCTCTCTCTCTCTCTCTCTCTCTCTCTCTCTCTCTCTCTCTCTCTCTCTCTCTCTCTCTCTCTCTCTCAACCAATGGGGCTTAAAGGCTTTGCCAGAATTGGCGTCTGTGTGGTACATAAATATTAAGGACCCCGCGAATGTAGATTCTAGATCAAAATGGGTCAAAAACTTGTATTAACATGGCCCAGCCATGCTTGTCTGAAAGTGTTCAATATCCAATCAGAGCTGATTATTGATACGCGTTATATAACGTAGTATTGAGCATGCGCGCTCGCAAATCTTAGCAAGGAAAAACTCCTCACCAGGCGTTGCTGTCTTCGTAGATCGCACGGGATCGGCCCTGAGGCTAACACTGAGCCTTGACTAACGCGTGGACGAAAATGATAAATGCATCTGAAAAAATAACGTTAAACGCTTTGTAACATCGAATCGCACATAAAGAAGGCAGTCCCAGCACATCTTTCACCTGTGCGTTTTTACATTGATAGCAAGAACGGATTGGCCTTAACAGCATCGCGAAGTGGTGCTGGAATCTGATGGTGGAACTGGAAGTGTGAAGAAAGAACCCCTGTTTTTTCGTGTTCTTGTAACTGCTTATCTATCCAGAGACAGTTTCAGTTTTTAAAAAGGATACGCCGAATCTTGCCTTCGAACGGTACGAATCAACTTTGAAGACTTTTGGAACCATTATTCTATGAGGCCGTTCTGCGCGTCCGGCGCCCGCCGCGTGGCTTTACTTGCAGTGGTCAACGCTGCTGCTTCTTCTCTCGGAAACTGCAACCCACATCATTGCTGTCCGTGTTCCCGAGATTGCGGGCGCGCAGGCTCAAACCTTTTGACGCAATTTCTTTCACCACTCCGTTTTCCAAAATACTTAAGTTCTTCGGCAAGCATAGGTTGACATTGTTCATTTTAGAGCTCATTTCTGCCCACTTTATTTGTGGTGTTCGTGCTAGGGTTTAGTGACGTCACGTGTGGGCAGCCCATGCTGCCGTTCGATATGCCGATTACGGCAACCTTGTCTGTGAGAGTAGATGCGCCAAGTCGGCTGGGTGTGCGCGTGTCCAAAGAAGGACAGATCGCTTGATTGGTTTAATCGTGTGTGCCAACAAACTAAGGACTTGACATGGCGTGGTCGGTAAGGTGATATCATGCGAATGTCATGTTTTGCATATTTTTCCTCAAGTACCTCTCGGCACAAGTACGGCACTGAAGTCGGGCCAGTCAAAGCCGAATGATTATGAAAAGCACATGAAAAGTACACGACACCAAAAAGGCATCCAATAGGTTCAAGTCCCGGTGGAGGCGGGCGTTTTGACACGATGGCGGATGGAAATAATGATTTTGCCGCTGCCATAGCGGACCTCACTAATCTGTTGAAAGACCAAGTTGAAGTCGCTATCCGGCGTGAACAACGGACGGCTGATCTTGTGACTCAGGCTTTGCAGGGCAGACAAGGGGGCAAGCCCGCAGACGACGCCGTCGCTAGCCACCTCCGCTAGCCTGAGAGAGTTCTCGACCTGCGAGAGAAGCACAAAGGCTACCGTCTTCTCACAGGCCTCGACTCCCTCCCCATCAAAGAGCAACGAGCAGCGCTACTGGCACTCCTCGACGATGAATGGACGCGAGTGGTGCGCTATTCTCTGGGCGTGAACGACACCACTTAAGCAGACAACCTGCTGGACAAGATGGAGAAGCACCGCAGGAGCCAAAGGAGCGTCATCCTCGACAGGTAGGAATTCTACACAAGACCGCAAGCAAATGGAGAGTCGTTCGACGACTACTTGATGGCGATAAAGGAACTGGTGGAATTCTGCGACTTCTGTGCCCACTGTATGGACGACAGACTCAGGGACAGGATCGTAACCGGCATCCGGTGTGAAGAAACGCTGCGACTTCTTCTCGCCGAGTCTTCGCTGACGCTGCAGAAGACAATTAACATCTGTCGAGCGCGTGAAAACGCACTACAGAACAGCGAAGCGCTTCGCGGAAGCCACGCCAACACTAATAATACCCATACTTCTTTCCAGGAAATGGGCCTCTTAAGTAGATCACTAGAGGGCACATTATTGTTCCCGGTACCATTGTGCCATTTCGTCCCACCGCAGGGTCTCTCCCGGCTGCCACCCTAGCTACACGGGGCGGGATGCCCTGGCCGATCCGGCGGCCCTTAGAGGTATTCGTCACATCGCATTTGTCTGCTCCTTGACGCGGGAGGCCTTCTGACAGACGCATTTGACTCCGGATGACGCAGGAAGCCTCACTGATGCAACAGCATCCCTGCCGCCGCAGGCAGTTCAATCACCGGCACATGAACTCCAGTTCAGCTCAACGGACCCATGCTGAAATTGGTTTGGAGAGCCCACCGTTCGGTACTGGGGGCCGTAACTGGCACAGAACCCTTTCATTGCTTTAATGTGAACACTCTTCATAAGTTCTCATGTTTCCTTTCATTATCAGAGGGCCCCAACCAACGCAACGGGTCCTCTATCATTTGGAATCCCGTCCCCGTCCCTGCTGAGCAAATCTCCCCTGACCAACTCGAGGCCCCTTGTCGACAGAGACTACCCTGTTAGGCACTGTGGGTCCCTGAACGATACAGAAGCTCCGCATTCTCGCAAGGCACCGACCGATGTTCGCTCTTGGTGATCTCTTGCTGAAATAGAGGACCATTCTGTCTCAGAGGTCCCTAATCGGTGCACGAGGCCCTCTCACTGTTATTTGAGATCACGGCCCTGCGGGCCGTGTGCGACCTTAACCTCCTTGTAATCTTCTTGTTACCTTGATACGTCCTTAATGTGACCTACGGACAGCCGCCCTGGCCTCTTAGGCTTTAAAATCGGACCTTTGATCTTTTACCCCTCGAGAGAGAAACCCCTCGACCCCTTTTCGGGTCCCTCTAATACCGCTCTTAGTCGACTCTGGGGCACTTGCCGCCACTTGACCCCTGCTAGGATTTGTGGACCCTGCCAGACACGGAAGCCCTCATTGTGTCAGGAACCCCGAATATTAAGAATTGCGGGCCCCGGCCTCGTTCCTGCTTGGGAAATAGGTCTCAGAGGTCAGACGGATACGCAGCCGACTGCTTAGCTCCTTGTCGAGGTCCTAAAAAGGGAAAGATAACCCTAATAGCAGGGCCCTTAAAGAAGC